GCAGGTGGAGTACAAAGCATGTGAAGTATTGGGGAAGCCTGTTGGACATGTCCAATACTTTCTTAACAAGACCTTCATCCAGCTACTCGAGGAGGGGTAAATCAAATCAGTTCACAGGCTAGTCTGCTGTATTTGGTAAGATTTCATGTATGCCTTTTGCCCTAATTAGGTTCATTGCGGGGGGATATGCCCTCCTCTAACCCTATAATTTTCAAATGAGGCTAGGATTAACTGGAAAAGGTGTTTTGAGCCCAAAGTCAGTTTAGAAGTAGATTGGGTTGATTTGTTGATGTCTGCAAAATTTGGAGTAATATGACTCAGTTTCACATGAGTTACAACCTTTCAAAATTTTTTTGTGGGCTGATCCTCAAACGTCTGAGAATCAGCTAAGTTTTAGAAGGTTTTCCTTAGATTTTGCATGTAGAACGTAAAAAGCATTCTATAAGATTCCATCAGAAGACCTGTTGATTCCCCTAATTTTTTTTTTGGAGAATTCAATCTTCCAAGCAGATACCGTTAGGGTATATGTAGTATACTATGTATGAGACATATGGAGAGTTAAAAAAGACCTATGAAACACTTTACTCATTTTGCAAAATACTGATTTCCATAAAATTACAGGGTTCGGCTTGAAACTTGGCCAGATTGTTCCTTCGGATATTAGACCACTTATATCTAGAAATGACGTTATTTGGATGCTATGCAAATTTTTTACGAATTTTAATAGTCATATCGGTCACGATTTTAGATTCAGGGGGCAAATCCACATATTGGTTTTTATTTTTTCTGCCACCTAATTCTACATTTACGGGTCATATAATATACTGCCAGAAAGCCCGTGATAAGAGCTACATTACGGTATATATTTGGATACGAGTTACTTGCACCTTTTTTTTAAAATAATATTAAAGAAAGTCATAAGTGGGCATATCCTCACGTTTGCTTTTAAAAAGCGTATGAAGGAGAAAATTCATAAAAATTCAGCGTCTTAAGTTTATACTTTCAGCTCGTGAAATGACATTGCTTGATAGTGTTTCTAACTTTCTGGAAGGTTTCATAACTCTTAGTTATATTGCCTTTATAATATGCTTGTCCAAACCTGACCTTTCCTGAATCTTCCTTATTTTTACTAAAAAGTTTACTTATTTTAATGCTAAATAGTATTCTTGTCTTTTTTTAAAATCTCTCTTAGAGTTTATTTGACAAAAGGGAAACATGTTAGCTTTCTAACAATGTATAGTTTGTATATAAAAGTTAAATTCTAATTTTTTTACGATTTTTTTTAACATTAGACCTCATACCATAAGATAATCTTTTTTCACGCCACTTCTCGACCCTGTAACTAAATTATGGGATATATTTTTGGAAAACCAATTATATGGTAATAAAGCACACAGTTTAAGCTTTCCAACGATATCTTATACATTGCTGTTTGTTGAATAGTTTTTTTTTAATGAATTTTTTATTAGATTTTTTATACTTTCATACAACCTCCTTATGACATTTAGTGACACATACACAACATCATACCCCAGCAAGTCTTCATTGGGTGAGTACACGCTTTTTTGAGCTCCGTAAATAGCAACTTTTTACACCCTTTGGAGGCTAGGTACAGGCAATTCAACTACCAAAAACTGTTTATAAGGTGACCAAGACACTACACATGATATTTTTTCCTCACAATACCCAATTGCTTGTGCGCAGTCTCCAATTACATTAAGGGTGCTCTGATATTACTTATAATGGTTAAGTGATAGCTATTATAGGCGTTTAATGCACTCTGAGGCTCCATTATTGCATTAGTTGGTTAGATAAAGATGCAAGGAATTGTAAGGCATCATTTTTGTGACAATCGATACATGCTGTTACAAGTTATTACGTCATTTAAGGTCAAATGTCACACGGTAATATGAGCTAGTGGTTTGTACAGAAACTTCAGGTAAGGCATAGGTCGCACTTGAGAAAAGTTTTCATCTTTGCCGGCTAAAAAACCACGAAAATTGGAAACCGCAACCGGAAAAGAAAACTTTTACTTAAATCGAGGAGGGTCGCATTAGTGGGAGATAATTGCTTTTGTTTTGACACATTGAGAACTGAAGTAGACCAGATACCAGAG